TTGGCTCTAGCCTCCCTGTAGCTCCCCTCCCAGGGCCACCACAGCCTCCTGCTCTGCCCCACCCCACCTGACCCAAGTGCAGCCACTGGGAAGAGCTGGATTTTATTAAAGGAAAAGAGAAACCCTAATTGAACAAATGAGCAAAACAAAACAATTTTAGAACTCTGAGGGTGCATCCAGACAAGCATGCATGTGCCTGTTGCGGCACCTCAAAGCAGTCTGAGATGCTTCAAGAGGCATGGTAAGAAAGAAAAAATGTTCCCCATGCTGCATATTTGGTGAATGTGAATCACTGAATTTTGGGGGGAAGAGGATGGAGGGACAAATGAAAAAAAACAAAACAGCTCTACCTTCTATACCTTGGTTGTCTAGGGAAGGGATAGAATTTAGTTTCCATCTAAATCTCATCCATTGTACTCAGGAATGTGGAATGATCTCAACTGTGGAGTCAGCAAATTCTTCATCTGTGAAAGGCTAAACAGGACTGTTCGTTCAACAGTTGCTCCTACATCACCTGTACCTCTGGGTGGATGCCCTGAAAACTGGCTTTTGTTTAATAACAAGGTACAGTAACAGATGTCTCCAGAATATTGTATTTGAAAAGGAATTGAACTTAGACAACGAGATTCTTATTTTTATTGTTTAGCTTTGTACTGAGAATTTAGATTATCCAAAGATATATTCTGATTGTCTGACAAGACCATTCTGGTGATGCCACATCCAGTTTTGAAGCACCTGAGAAATAGATTTGTGAATTACTGTAAGTTTTAAATGACTTCAATCCAAACTTCTAAAAAGTTTTTAGATTCTGAAATGAGAGGGAATTAGATACCTAAATACCTTTAAAATACTATTTCTTTGGCCCTAGTCCTAAAAAACGTTTTGCTAACACTTAACTTTGGGTCAGGAAGAAGTGACCCATAATTCTGATGCAATCAGCGTTATACCACTATAAAAATATAGGAGATTCATGATGCAAGCTCTTGAACTGGGGTAACTTCTTCCCATACATGGGAATACTCTTCTTGAAAGATTGGGGATAAATCTGCACCATTGTAAGTTATCATGGCCAGATTTCATCAGTTTGCACCTTATCCTGGAATAATAACTTGCTCATGGCAAGCAGACTGTAAATAGATGTCTCATTTAACACAGGCCTGATTTTCCAGGAGTTTGACATGCATCAAAACAGGTGCAACATGGCCATTTAGCATGTTGCCCTTCCAACTTGTACTGCTGCTCTTCTGCCAGTAGATGGTCAGTAGCCTGGCTGGATTGTCCAGGGATTGACCCATAATAACCCTACAGACATACATTGTGGTGTCCTGTGGAAAAAACAATAGCCACTTTAATCCTGCATAACTCAGTGGACTTGTACATCTATAGGATCCCAGGATAAAAGGCTTTCTTTTGGGAGAAATGTGACATTTACCCACAACCATAAAGTGTTACTTGATCCCCTGCCATCTACTGGTGAGCCTACTGTGGGAAAAATACACATCTGTCTATTACATTACCGCAGTATAATTTCTGTTGATATATAAAATGGATTTACATTACATTGCGGCATAGGATCATTTGCCCTGGCCTTGAAAGATGACACAGTTAAGCAAATATATTCTGCTTGTGCCGTAGTGCTTACCTGTTCCAAACCATGTTCTCTGAACAAAATTGTTGACTATTAGTTGACAGAGAAAGAATGTAAAGTTGCTTCTTCATTAGACTGGATTAGAGGAACAAAGTTTACCCATAAGAAGCCTTTTCCAAAAGGAGGCATGCAGAATTAGATAATACAAAGCATGCCTTCTTTCTTTGAAATGACCTACTTATACACAAAAGGTGGATCTTTATGCAAATGCTTTTATCTCTACTCTACAATCAATGTATGACTTGTTTATATAAACCCTGGTTTCATTCTATCTGTCACTGTTGTTGTAAGTACCATTGCACAGTGGTATTGTAAAGAGTTTGCTATGTTGCATAACAAGGTTGCCATCCCAAGAAAATGTTTTTTTATTGAGAAGTTGCAGGTTGCTTACTGACAACCAAACTTTTTAACTGACACTATGCCACCCTGCCAAAGTGTTCCCTCTTCACTCCTATACCCTGATACCCCTGACCACATCCTTTCCTTTTTAGATTTGTAGATTTCATGGCCAAAAAGGGCCCATTAGATCACCTAGTCTGACTTCCTGTGTGATGCAACCTATTAAATATGTTTGTTTAGAATGAAATTGTTTTGTTTGTATGTTTGCAAGAGAACCAACAACATGGCGTCCAAACCTCAACAACATTTTCTTTTTCAGTGTTTCAGATTGTTTGATAGCATTAAAAAAGAAGCACAGTCATGGCATGCTGCACGGACTACATGTATAAATTTAGGAGGCAATCTGGTTACTGTATCAAGTGCAGAACTGCAAGGTATAGTGTGTACATTTTTTGATAATGGATGAGATAAAGAGGTCGACCAGTCTCATGGAACAGCCATAAAATAAAGACCAAAAAAGAAAAAACAATACAGCTGCAGTTTCTGTAATATATCTTACTACTATTGCTTATATGAAAAGTTGCATTTAATGATGGATGAGGTATATGTAGTTTGAATAAATTTAAATATACATATCAATGGTTTGCCTAAGTTTGAAAAGCACAATTTCAGCATAATAGTAGATTATAGATTGTGGCTGCCACTATATCAATTTCATTCAATGTGACTGATTTTTTTTTATTTGTTTTGATTTTCTAAATTTCAAACCTTCAGATAATGATAATGTGCATGTATATACATACTGTTCAGCATGAACAAAGATAGCAACATTGAGCTTCTGATTTAACTGTTATGGAAATCAGTATTGTCAGTGATTGGGGGAAAGTGCATTTAGTTTCCCTATTTGTAAAACTATTTGCTTTCTTTTAGCCTTCCTTATCACCCTCATAAAGGATGCTACAGATGAGGTCTGGATTGGAATGAATGATATAAATCATGAATACTTGTTCCTATGGACGGATGGAAGTGGTGTCTCTTATACAAACTGGGCAAATGGTTATCCAGATTATAGCTATCAGGTAAATATTGAATGCAAGTTATCATTAAATCATTACAATTTTGGTAGGTAGATCAAACTGTGTGTGACCCACACAATTTAATGTCTGTGGAATTCAATATATTAATTGTTGTTGAAAGCAGAACTACCATGGTCATCTTATATGTTTTTGGACATTCAGTTTGAAATATTTTTTAAAAAGGTCTGTATTGATAGTTGGACACTTCTTTATTTAAAATCAGTGTTTTTGAGATAGTAAACATTCAGGGCTTTTTAAAAAAATGTAAGTTATCCTTTATCCTATCCCTGTAATGCAGTATGAATCTTAATGAGAAGATGACTGGAACAAGGCCAATATTCTGCAGACTTAAATCCAGTGATTAGTTCACAAACTTAGTATCATAGAATCATGGGAAAGTAGGAGTGGAAGGGACCTCAGGAGGTCGTCTTGTCCAACCCCTTGCTCAAGGCAGGATCATCGCTGTATAAACCAACCTAGATAAGTATTAGTACAACCTGTTCTTAAACACTTCTGAGGATCCCTGGGTAATTTGTTTCAATGCTTCACAACCATCTAAGGGAGAAAGTTCTTTAATAACCAACCTAAATTTCCCATGTTGCTATATAACATTGTTTCTCTTTGTCCTATCCCTTTGACTGCAGAAAATAGTCTATCTGCATACACTTCATAGCCACCCTTCAACCACTTTAAGTTTATTATCAAATTCCCCCTCGGTCTTTTCCTTTCCAGACTGAAAAATGCCAATTCTTTCGGCCTTGGCCTCCAAGTCCTGTCTCCCAGACCTGTTATCACTTTTTGTTGTTCTCTGGTGGACTCTCTCCAAATGGTCTACCTCTTTCTGGAACTGAGGTGCCCAAAACTGGAAACACTTCTCCAGGTGACTCAGTTGAGACTAGTTAGGTGATTCCTATAATTAAAGGTTGCCAGATGATATGCTAATGCTGAGCAATTGCGGAGTATCACAAGGATCCATTAGAATTTACTAAGCTATTAACAGGTGGTTTGTGTTTATAAATGTGATTTACAGGTATTCACTATTACATAGATCTTGCACATGAATGCAATTACATGAAATACCTTTTTAAAAAAAAAGGCAGAAGAGAAAGAATCAGGGTCTCCTATTTTTGTTTTATATTCTATCTTTCATTTTATTAGATCTTACTCCCTATTAGATCTATCTTCAGAATAACTCCACTGCAGGCTAAGAGGTTTTCCCCATCATCATCTCAATTTACTGTTAAATGCAGAACATAACAGAGTACTGTTCAGTTGTGAATGAAATGGTTAATGTGGACTAATGGCTGACATTTCTACTTTTTTGCTCCTATTTTATCATCTTGACAAAATATCTTTTTCACAATAAAAAATGACAAGCAATTTGCACTGAAGGAGCCTCACACAACAGCTCTAGAACAATAAAGAACATGAGTGAAGGTGCTATTTGGTAAATGCTAGAACAATATAATATAAGTCCTGTTCAGATATGAAAAGGCTTATTACAAGACTAGATTACATGGCCCTGAGGGAGTATAAGTAATAAAAAATAGATGCTTGATCGACCTGTCTGTGATAGCTTGGTCTTCAGATGTGGGAGGAAAAGAAGTGTTTTTTGTTTGTTGTTTTCTTCGTGCCCCTTAATGTATCATTTTCCTTCTTAGTCTGACTGCATCTTTATGACAAACAAAAATATTGAAGAGGCAGGGAAATGGAAAGATTCAGACTGTCAGGCTAACAAAAGTTACATATGCCAGAGAAATACAGGTGAGTGCTCCTCCGCCATTCTTCTAAGTAAATAAAGATGAGAAAATGGTTTGATGTTTAGATTGCCTTCTGGATTGAACTCTAGCTCTCCACATACTCTGCATCAGCTCTGGCCTCTAAGTGAAATGTGTTTCACAGTTTCATATGAGCTCAAGAACATTTTGACAAAGCAAACAGGGATACTGATAATTTTTGCCATGGATGCCAAAAAAGGCCCCTCACTCTTCCTTAGTGCCACTCCAATCTACTTCCTTTGCCAAACTGGCTGCTCAGCTTTCTGCTCCCTACTTTGTGGTCCTTGGCCAATCTCCTTCTCTGCTTTCTGTTTCCTATCCTATTTGGTCTTTTGCTGCCTGGTCCCTTCCTGATCTGCCGTGTGCCCCACGGAGAAGCTGCCTGTGCCATTTGTGGCCTGTGTGTAACAAGGTGGATACCCCTACTCTAACAGTTGCAGAAGCTTGGCCTGTAGAAAAAGCCAGTAGGTGTCATGTAGCCCATCTGAACTAATCTTAGACACAATTGTAAAGGGATCAAGGCTTTATTCTACCTCAGTTTGGCTTGATCCCTCCTCACCTTGACCAGCAGATCAGAGGGAATTTCCCATTGCTGCAACCAACAAGACTTTTATGAAACAGAGGGAAGTTCTTATTGCCACAACTCAGCAGAAGATTGTTATGAATGCTGTTTGGAGGGAATTGTTTTTGGCTTGTATATTGGATGGGAGGATTGAAAGAGGTGATAGGACTAAGGTTGGGAGGGAGGAAAATAAACCCCTTAATATGCCAGCTCTCAGGAGGGGTAGGAAGGCTTGTTTGGAGAGATTTATTTAAGATTTTGTGAGAGGGGAAAAGGTCACTGATTTGTAGATAAATCATGGTAGAGGGTACATTAATTGTTTTTCTTTTTTTTTTTTTTACCTTGAGAAATTGAGGTTTGGTCTGCCTTGTCTACACTATTGATACACCAGATTTTGCAGCCTTGCCTAGACCATATTTTCAGCTGGAGCAGCATGCACCCCTCCCAAACCCTTCTCTTCTCACTTTCTCATGGTGGGTGTTTTGGCCTTGCAGCCACCAGTACCATACATCCTGGGTGCCATAGGATCACAAGGGATCACAGCCTGGAGGTTTCTCCCCTGTAATTCCCTGCATAGTTGCACTGTGGTTAAACAAAATCTAGTACTTATTCTAACAGACAAATTTATGGAAGTACTGCATACTTTCATAGAGGAGGGGTATAACTTCATGGAGAAGTCCTGGTTGGGAGCAGAGTAGCCGCAGAGCCAAAGGCTACAACTTTTTATTAAAGCTCTTTGAGTCATGGTTATTGTCATTGAAATGATGGTTTTACCACCCATTGCATCTTGATTTTTATTAGTGTTACATCTCTTAATCATTTTAAAACTGCAGACATTTGTTAAGTGGTACAATAGTTGCATAGACTATGAAACAACCATTTATTCCTTTATTTTCTTATTTTGCTACAGATCCTAAACTATATCACCAAACAACAGTTCCCATACCTGGCTTTATCCAATATGGTAACAGTAGCTATTCCATCATAAGTTCCAAAAAGAATTGGGAAGAAGCACACAAAAACTGCAAGGCTGAACACTCAGAACTTGCCAGCATTTTAGATGCCTATACCCAATCATTCCTGTGGCTGGACACATTAAAGTTTAAGGAGCCTGTGTGGATTGGTCTCAACAGCAATGTGGTAAATATATCAAATATACTTCATGTCAGAATACTTCTGCCCTATTTGTCATCGAACTATTACTGTCTTGATTTTCAAGAACTGTTACTGTTGCACCCTTTTGTCTTATAGTGGGCACTAAGCATGAGCAAGAATTCTTTGTTATCATAGAGAAGTTATGCTGGAAGAGGGCCTCTGCTTACCATCTAGTCCAACCAGGGATTGAACCTGTGACCTTGCTGTTATTAACAGGATGCTCTAACCAACTGAGTTTCTAATGATTTTAGTCTTCAAAAGCATCCAGAAAAGGAAGAAAAATAGGGAGAATTTACCTTCAAGAGCAAATTGGAAGCAAATTGGATGCTTATCTTGTTGGGATCCTATGACCCCAGCTGACTTTCTGCCCTTTTGGGTGGGGGGCTGGACTCGATGATCTTCCGAGGTCCCTTCCAGCCCTAATGTCTATGAGATGTGGGAAAAGGATGTATAAAAAGGAGACAAGCTGTGAGCATGATGGAGGATCTGTAAAAAAGGAGTTGCAAAGAGGCTGAGAGGAGAATAGAAGCTATAGGAATAGTGGGAGGTTGAAGGCACTGAAGAAAGCATGGTGAACTGATGACAGGGAATTGTGGGATCAAGAAAGGGATAAACAAGCAATGGGTAGGAGATGCATAGTCTTTCTTCATAGAAATGATTTATCAAAGTAGTGGAAGGTGTCCCAAAACCTTAAGGCTTAATTCACTGAAGCAGGTGGGACATTCACCTAGAAGGAATTTTCATGGAGTGGAAGCAGCTTTGTACTCCAGTAAAGGGATTCAGTGAACCAGTGTGTTCCCTAACTGCCTGGGTATCCCACAAATCTGAGCCAGTGCCATGTACTTAGGGTTTCATTGGTTCCCCTAACCTTTGGCAGAATGGAGTTTACCAGCTGGCCATTTGAGGCTTTGTTCATGGCAGCCAACACAACCATAACCCAAATGTCTGGCATTGGCTTGGGAACATCCTGGCCTAAATTTACGCCAGTTTGTTCCAGAGCAATGAGATGCATTTCTCATCTTGCTTATATTCTTTATTTTTATAACCATGTCACTGAAAAGAACTAGTGCTCCCATGGCTTGAAGCAAATACATGTAATCACACAGGCAAGGGGTTGCGCCAGTTGCAGAGATGAGTTTAACCCTCCCTGTGAACAACTGTCCAATTTAGCCAAGTCCTGAACCACAGAAAATCTCACTTTGTAGGTAGTAAGTAGACTTGACGGATTTTGGTAGCTAAATTTCTTAACATTCCTTTTGCATCAGGCATTTTCAAAGCCTGCCCAGTATCTGTGTATGACCAGACTGAGCTTGCAGCTTGCCTAGAGAGCAAAGATCCTGGTTCCTGCTGCAGACTAAGACTGCAAGGGCTAAGCCAAGGACACTTTTCTCCTTTGTAAATGCTCCTTCTGGCAGTCAGAACCTTCTGTGATGCCGGACCCAATAACCAAAAGCAGGCATGGGTCTCCTGTATTCTCTCTATATGTCTTTTGCTCGCCACAGGGAGGAGAAAATAAGGAGCAGGAATAAGCTCCATACTCTGTGAGGGGTAATATGTGGGGATATAGAGAAGAAGACCAGAGGAGGGTAGGAGAACTGGATCTGTACAGAGCTGAAGCTGTGTTGGGATCTGGATGGAGGGAAGAATAGGATTAATATACAGAGATGGGAAGACTGAGGGGGAGCTAGGTTGGGATTGGGGATACTGGAACATGGAGGAAACTGGGATGAGGGAGTGGCATGTATAGGGGCAGTGGGCATGCTATAGTATTCCTGTGTTTCAACATTTCTCTACCGTCAACAAATAGGTAGTGAAATCCAGAGACAAAATGGGAGACTCATTTCTATAAGAAATGAGCTGATACAAAGGATAACAATGTACAGGTGCTATTACTTATTTCATTAACTCAAGTGGTGGAGGTCTTAGGCTGTGAATCTAAAGATTCTCACCCTGCTGCTGCATCATGTGGTCATTAATATAGTTCCACATGATCAAAGTTTTCTTTCTTTTAACTACTTATTCAGAAGAAACAAACTCACACGGAAAAAATGTTAAGAACATCAACTGTAGAGCCTTTGCATGGGTCCCTAGTTCATACACATTCTGATACCAAAGTTAATTGTACAATCATGTACAATTTTTGCCACAGGGACCCCTACCTCATTCAGTGTGCTGAATGGACATTTGTTAATAACTGTCTTGAGTGCTGTAATGTGTAAGGCTGTGGGATGATATGCCGCGGAGGATGGAAGTCATGTAGTTAATAAGGCTGGGATGAGAAAGAAATAGGCTGGTACAGGCTGTTGAATTTCACCACTAAGAATTGGAATTCTATCTTGGCCTCTTCCACTGAGTTTGCTCAATAGTCATTACTTGTTCTGTCTATGGAATAAGATGGGGTCCTTCTTTCTACTGTTTCCTAACAATTGAGAACCTGATTTTTCAGCACTACTAAGGTAGGTTTTTTGGATACTGTGTTATTTCACTTTCCATTTGTTTTTAGACTGGTGGATTTTACAAGTGGACTGATAACTGGAAACTAAAGTACCAGAAATGGGCCCCTGAGGAACCAAAAAAGAAAATAGCCTGTGTCTATTTAGATGTGGATGGTTCCTGGAAGACAGGCTCATGTGATGAAGAGCATTTCTCTGTCTGTAAACGGTCTGATGGTGAGCAACAGATTTCATTTAGGCCAAACATGTACTTTCAGTTAGGGAGCTTGGAATTTAATTGCCGCGGTAGCTTGACTTGATTAATAATAGAAGGATGTTTCAGAAAGTAACAACAATTTTGAAATAAAACCATTTTATGTGTAATGAATGGGAAACGAAACAATAGCACGGAACGCACTGATGGTGGCGTTGTTGAATACACCTATTGTTTACAACTATGTGCTGAAGCGATGTGGTCCAATAAATGATCATTACACACAAAGTGGGTTTATTTCAAAATTGCCATTACTTTCTGAAACACCTCGTATACATATACATATACATATATGTACACACCTCCTGTGTAAGTGTATATATATGTGTGTGTGTGTGTGTGTGTGTGTGTGTGTGTGTATGATTAAGCTGGTTATATTGCTATTGAATAGAAAGGAATGTGACTATTGATAATGTGTGTGTTCCCTGATTTCACATTTATAAAAGAGTAGTGGTTTTATAATACAGCATGGTTTCTTAACAGTTATGCCCCCTCCTGATCCACCTCAACTCCCTGGAAAATGTCCAGCAGAGAAAAAAGGCAGATCCTGGATTCCTTTCCGTGGTCATTGTTACTACATTTATGTCTCATCTAAAGAAAACTGGTCTGGAGCTTCCATGGAATGTGTTCGACTAGGTGGGTGTCAGCTTTTATTAGGAAATAACAATAGAGGATATTGGTAGGACTCCAGAGAAATATTTGTTTCCATTCTTTGCAAATTGATAATATGTTCAAGGCAAAAACAAAACCCCCCAAAAAACAAAACAAAAAACAACCAACCCCCCCCCCCCAACTGGTCAGCAGGAAATATTTGTGAGAATTGGTGGGGAATTGGGAATGAAAAGTAGTGCCTCTTCTCCCCTTCCCTTTCAGACTAAAGACCTGGAAAACTTTTTTATGAAGCCTGGGTGGAAGAAAACAGCATATATATCTCATACCACATCCCCCCAGATAAGATATGTACCTTATTTTTGGCGAAGCAGAATTAAGAACAAAAGATTTACCAGTGTCTTCCCTGCCATAGCATGGGAAGACCATGGCTGAATGTTCACAGCCTCTGGTAAATTGGCATCTGCCTTAGGACTGGATTCTGACCTCCCTCCATGTGGCTAGAGAAGAGAAGCAGAAACCATTACAGGGATTCTGTTCAGGCACAGAAAATCTGTTTCCCTGTTTAAGACATGCAAGACTTGAAGGGCTGAGTATTGGGGGAAATGTGTGTGTAATATGGAAGTAAATACACTATTCCTCTGAAAAACTTTCATTTTTCTTTCTTAGTACCAACTATTGCCCATTGCAAACTAGCTTACATCTTGCTGTTCCTTTCTACCATCTTTGAATGGTACTGTGGCAGGGCACTGTTTGTACCTGTCACTTTAAGGGCCTGAAGCTAGCAGACAGCAGGTGCCTGATTAGGACAGCCATTTTGTATCCAGGGCTGCCCATATAAACAGGGAATATTGCTGCTGGAAGGCCAGGCAACAACATTGCCTGGCTGCCGGGGTGCTGGTGTCATCTGGAGGTAAGGGAGGAACTGTAGGGAATGGTCAGGAGGCTCCTGGTCCTGGGCATGCCCTAAAACTGCACCCTGCCAGGAGTGGGTGGCCTGGTGGGGCTTTCAGTGGTGTGGGAGCTCCCAGGAAATACCAGGCCAGTTACCACCCCGGTGAAAGGTGGGTCGGGGTGCCTTAACCCCTAGCTCCCACAACCGGGTTTGTTACCCCCTTGTAGGGTCTGGAAGGAGGACCTCAGTGAGAGTGGGGCCATAGACTCAAACCTGTCTTGACATCCCCCGACTAGTCCACAATGGGGCCAGGACCAGAAGGGTCGAAAGGCCAGGGGCTCACCATGAGGAATGCCCAAGAGCTGAGGTCCTGGGGTTCCGACTGGCCTGGAGGTAGGCCAGGGCTAGTAGCCAAATGTCCTGGGGGGGACCATACCCATAAGGGGGAGAAGCTCAGGAAGCTATGCAGCTGGGAATGAAGGCAGAATAAGCTGCCTGAATGGAGGGATCTAAGTGGGGTCCAACTAGTAGGATTCTGGGGCCCAGTGTGGGGCCAATGATATGGATAACATCTGGATGCCATCTGCGAGGCTTGGGTTGCGGTGTAGGGGAAGAACGGAGCTGCAGATAACGCCCCCTGGCAGTGGGGCAAAAAATGGGCAACCTCCTGCTTTATTAATATCAATTAAATAATTAACAAGGCATGGCAGGCGACAAGGCATGTGGTTAGCCCAGAAGCAGGTGGGCAGGCCACAGGGAAATCAGCCCCGAGAAGGCCCCCTGTTACAGGTACCTAAGTGCCTAAGTGTACTTCCCATACATTCACCAATAACCTCAGCTATTAAATGACTAGCTGCTTGCACCCTAGTTTTGCTTCTTTTGACTTGTTTTTCCTTTCTCCCCATCTATAGTTTAGTCTCTATACATCTTGTTCTGCCTGTTCTTCCTTCCCCTATCAGCTGGGTTCTGCTACCCTTTCATAAAGCACAGGGAGCACAAATGTGAGTTTTTTGTATTTATCTATTTTGAAGCTATTGGTCTGCGTTCTCTGGGACAGTTGATAAACTACATTGAGGAGTGAAAAAATAACCTTGAAGAGAAGGCACTTTTATTCCAAAGATCAGAACATAGGGGCTATATTCTGCTGTTGATGTATTCCTGGATAATTTACTGGTTTCAGTGCAACATAAATTACAAGATTCAGCCAATTTGCATGTATTGTCAGTCTTAAAAAAATCAGATCATAATTATTGTTTCAAAGAGTGGATCATATAGAATGGTGAAAGTTGCTTAAATTATGCTTAGTTATTTATAAATGTTTTTCAGGTTCCTCGTTGGCTACTATAGAAGATTCAGCTGAGATGAATTTCCTATTTAATCACTTGCATGCATTTGCAAGTGATTCAAGCCAGTTTTGGATAGGAATGTACAAAAATGTGGATGGTAATAATTTAATTTTCAATATTTAGTTGCAAATAAATACTCAGAGGTAAACTCCAGCCAGGAGCAGTTTGAGCCATTTCAAGTGGGGCAGGAGCGTGGCACCACATCCCCACTGCTGCGAGCAGAGTAGGCTGATCCATGTTGTGGGGAACACTACCTCTCACCCTGCTTGGACCAACTTGCTCTGCTTCTGGCAGGAGCAGAACCAGTGTGAGTGGCAGCAGGGAGCCCTGCTGCTTGGACTGGCTTGCTCTCCTCCTGGCAGGAGGAGAACTGGAAGCAGAGCAGGTCCAAGGACAGCAGGAGGCACTGTGGCTTCTGGGCACTCTGGGGCTGCAGCACTTGCTCTGCTTGGTGGGAGCAGCAAGCCTGTCCTTCCCTTAGCTCTTAGTCCTGCCTCTCCTCACTAAGCCTCTATTAGCAAGTTGCAGCTGTTCAAGTGAGAGGCAGTCAGAGCAGGGTTTTTGCCTTACCATGTGACTGCTTCCATTGAATCAAATAGCACTAAGTCGATTAACATTTGTTCGGTTTACAGCATAAGGTCTAGCAAGGCCCTTGGAAAGGAAAAAAAAATCCAGTGGATTTGTCAGATAGGCCTGTGCGAAGCAGCTAGTATTCACTTTGGATTCAGATACGGCCGACTCAGGTGACAGTGATTCAATTCGGTGATTCAGATCACTGTCCTGAATTAATATGTCTGAATCTCTGAATCAGCCAGACCCACCCCCCACCTGCTCTCTCAGTCCTGGCAATGACTGCACCACCTGCCCCAGCTCCAGGCACTTGGGGGGGGGGGGAAATCCCTGACTCAGAGGGTGCTGCTGGGCAGGGGCAATCCCCACTGCTCCCCACTGCCTCATGCTGTGTGGGGGGCTCTTCATGAGCCCCCTGACCCCACCTCCTGCTCTCCCAGTCCCCCATGGCTGCCCTGCCCACTGTGGCTCCAGCCCTTTAAGAAAAAAAAAGAGAAAATCCCCAGACTCACCATTCCTGCTGGTGGGAGGTGCCCCCCACTTCCCTCCACTTCTCCATGCCATGTGGGGGGGCTCTACATGAGCCCCCCTAAGCCCTGAGGCCACAGCAGGAACGGTAGTCCTGGGGCTTTTCTCTGTTTTTTTCTTTTTTTCTTAAAGGGCCAAAGCCGTAGTGGTCAGGGAAGCCATGGAGCAGGGCTGGGGGAGTGGGAGGAGTTTCAGGGGGCTCGTGTAGAGCCCCCCCATGCAGTGGGGAGCAATGGGGGGAAGCCAGGATTGCCATCACACCTGGTGAGCACCGGGGCTTTTCTTTAAAGGGCTGGGAGCTGGGGTGGGCAGGGCAGCCATGGGGAGGTGGAGGTCAGGGGGGCTGAGGGAGCAGGGAGGGGCTGGGGGCTGGTAGGGGTCCACCCATGGTCCCCTCCCCCTACTTAACAGCTCAGAGTCCATCTGCAGCTCCCTGCTGCAGCCACTGGGGACTGTCCAAATCATTGAAGCTTTCTGAGTCTTTTCTGAAGATTCAGAGAGCTTCAAATTGATTCATACCTTTTAATTGGTCCCCTGATTTGATTCAGAGATTCAGCCACCGAATCAGGCCGAATCTCCTCCGAATCGAATCATCACTCAAAACTTCACACAGCCCTATTGTCAGAGCTGGGGGCTTGGTTCTGGGAGAGCCAGGTATCAAAATCTCCTATACACATGCACAGAGCCTGCTCCAATGCTCTGGAAATCTAATGAGATGGAACAGACTCAATTAGTTGAGTCTGCTGGAGTACAGAAATTGACGTGCTTCAGCAGCCTGGCACATTACATGCATCTGTGTCATCACATATCTCCTCACTGAAAAAATGGAGGCAGGGTGCTTTAAAATAAAACACATTCAATGAACTTTATTTTAAAGCCCCCCACCACCATTTTTTCAGTGTGGGGATACCCAGTGACACTGATACAAGTGACATATAAGCACTTTTAATTGGCATGGCTTGCTAATTCATGCTCCCAGTGCTGCGTCCCACAACATGTGTAAAAATACACAAGGAGCTTGGAAAAGATATGTGAGGGCCTGTTGAAAAGCTGGGGTATGGAGAAGCTGAGAGGCACTGGAGTTATGAGATGTTGGATCTGCAAAGACTGGTGGTGAATTGGGCTCCAGGAGGTGGGATTCAGGTAAACTGAATTGGTAGGACCTTCAAGGGTTTCTGTTTTTCTTGATAACCTTAGATACCAGGAGGAGAGCTATAGACTTATTTTCAAACTCTGACACCCAAAGCATGTAACACAGGAATCTAAATAGGCAAGATTCCCCAGCTGGATAGATCTCTCCGTGATCTTTTGGGGCAGCTTATCAACAGCAAAGGCTGTGTAGCATAAATAAATATTTATTTAGGCAGGGGAGTCTATTGCATTAAGTATAGGAACACACATTTCCATGGGAAACTACAGTATCATTTCTGAATCATTTTATTTTATATTATATTATTTTTTAGGCATAGTTATTCAGGTTTTGTTTCTTTCCACTGAAAACTCAAAAATTTCCATTCAAAATTATGATACAAACAAGTTTCTGTTTAGCTTTAGTTTTAGGACCTGGGCTTCCCTGCAATCAATAAGAGACAGGTGGTAGTGACCTGAATAGGTAATGATGTTATTCAGTTTGGCCTGATAAAATAAGGCAGTGTTAAATAATTGAGCAGATCCTGGTAAATGAGATGTTCTTCAGTCTTGGATATAGTCAGAGTCCAAATCACTAGCATGCTTTGGAGGCCAGGATCCAAAGAACTTTAGAGACAATATTAAGCTTCACCTTTACTACTGGCTCCCAGTGCAAATTCTGGTGCAAATTCAAGGTCTCTTTAGTTTTAATCTTTAACACACTTAGTGTGCCTGGCAGTACAGTTAGTGCAATAGTGTAATAGTGAACTAACTAACTATGTTCTTCTATGACACCATAGATAACGGGGCTTAATATTCAAATTGCTAAAGCTCAGGCATAAGACATCCTTAGCTAAGTGTCTTTTTCTGCTCTGGGAGGAAAACTGAATCGTGTAATAGTAAGGTGTTGATTTTACCAATTCATTAGTTCAATGTCAACCTTGTCATTTAATATTTTGTACTTATCATTTTAATTTTAGATGAATGGACATGGATAAACAACAAAGCAGTTGATTTTGTCAACTGGAAAGAAGGCGAGCCTTCAACTTTTTCTAGTAAAAACTGTGTTTTCATGGATGCTTCGGATGGACGCTGGAGAGTCTATTACTGCAGTTTTGACAGACATTTTATTTGTAAAATGCCAAAGAGTAAGTTCAGTCTATTGCATTATTTTGTTAGTGATGACTATTATTATAATACAAAGTCCTTTTGCCCAGTGAATTCTGTGTAACTAGATGTTTGTGATAGCTGTTTCTCTCCATGGACTGAGATCTTGTTGTGATGGAGAGGCTTCCAATGGTCCTCAGAGCAGTTGCCCAGATTCTCATGCTCCTATTAGGTTCACCTGTGGTCAGCAGGCCTGAGGGAAGGCTCTAGACAAACCATAGTTCAAACCACAAGTCCTCAACAGCAGATCAGGGAAAAGGAGATATTAAGACCTCAATGACTGTAAAGATGGAAGAAGGCTGCAACAAGATGGAGGTTTCCTGTCATCTAGGGTTTTCCCTCATCACTGGGCTCAGATCTCCACCTTGTCAAGACTGTTATTTCTGCACACCAGGTTCCTCATGTTAAACAGTCACATGCAGGCTTCTACTACAGGAAACAACACACTCTCCTGTACCAACATCCAAAAGCCCTATGGCAATGGATGAGTCGTGATGTAGACAGAACTGGTGAATCTGGCAGCCTCCAGGCATGAATCTTCATGCAGGCGGTGGTAGTTTGATGGTTGTCTTGCACCTGGATTGAGACAGAGGTGCAATTCGGCAGTTGCAACCATGACTGAGCAGTCCTATTCAGGATCCTCTCTGATCACCCCACATGGGGAAAGGACCACAAAAAGTGCCTTAAACATAGGCTGTTTTATCTGCTCCTAGCTAGATAACCACATAAAGCGGTATCACTTTCTCTGCCATTGAAAACATCATAGGAAGATAATGATTTTCGCAACATGTAAGATTTCATAGATTTCATAGACATTAGGGCTGGACAGGACCTCCAAAGATCATCGAGTCCAGGCCCCCGCCCAAAGGGCAGGAAG